TCCCGCCCCCAGCCCAGGAGAAGCTGGACCAAGTGGCGAATGCCGTGTACCAGAAGATGGATCAGCTGTACCAGGGCAAGATGTATTTCCCCGGTAAGCGGGCGGCAGCCACGCGTGGGGAAACGGAGACTGCCCCCCTCTGCCCACCGCCGGAGCCTGACTTCCCTCCTGCCCACCCCCATCAGGGTATTTCCCCAATGAGCTGCGAGCCATCTTTCGGGAGCAGGTGCACCTCATCCAGAATGCCATCATCGAAAGTGAGCAAATGAAGGGCCTGGGGGTGGGTGGAGGAGGGCCACAAAGGGGAGAAGGGCAGCTCCCCGGGGAAGGGACCCTTCCATCCCGTGCGCAGCGGCAAGGCTTCGTGGATAAACCCCACCCCTCCCTGCCCCCTGGCCCTACCGGACCCTGGAGGCATGGGTGAATACCGCTGCTGCCCTCCCACAGCGGTTTGCTTCCTCCCAGGCTGAGCGCCACCTGGGTGGGTCTTGGGCAGGGCAGGAAGGGTGGGCCGGAGCAGGGCACAGACAGGTTGGTCCTCTTGTCCCCACACAGGCCGCATTGACTGTCAGCGTCACTGTGGTGAGTGAGCCCCCGTGCAGCCCGTGGGGCCCAGCGGTGGCCGCCGCCCCGGAGGCTGAGGCCGGGGAGCCTGCGGCGGTCTCTCCTGTGTTGCAGGCATCTTCCAGTACGAGACCATCTCCTGCACCAACTGCACCGACTCGCACGTCGTCTGCTTTGGCTACAACTGCGAGTAGGGCTCAGGCTGGGGTGGGGAGGGGCGGGGGCCCCAAGCCCGAGGCCAGCCTGGGGCCCTCCTCTGCCCCTCCCTGGCCTTCCAGCACCCGGGGAGGGAAGGGTTCTGGCCCCGGGGCCTCCCCATCTCCACGCCCGTGCGCCCGCAGGTCGTCGGCACAGTGGGAAGCAGCCGTACGGGGCCTCCTCCTGTACATGTGAGTTGGGGCAGCTGGGCTCCGGGAGGGCACCCCGACCCCCAGCCCTGCCAGCCCCTGAGTCCAGCCCTGCTGTCGTTGTAGAAATAAGTGGCACAAGTACGTGAGTTTCATCCGAGGCAGTGAGTGTGCTCGTGAGCCCTCGTGGGTGAGTGTGAGCCAGCGCAGCCACAGGAGTGGAGCCTGGCTCGAGTGCCCGCGACCCCAGCTGCTCCTTCCGCGAGCGTCTCTGGGTTCAGCAGGCACAAGGGGGGAAGGACAGTGGTCAGAGCTGGGGAGGGCCCCCGTGACGGATCTGCCCCAGTGGAGGGACCTGAGGGCCAAGTGAGACCCTGTCGTGTCTTTCAGACAGGACACGAACAGAAGGTAAGCCACCCCCTCACCCCCCCGCCTGTCCTCGCCAAGCTCTGACCAGGCCTTCTGAAAGGGAGGTGGGGACGAACAGGGAGGGGTTGGAGAGGGCAGACACAGCCGGCAGGGATCTCTGCACCTGGGACAAGCCAGATGTCACCTCTGCAACCACAACCAAGTGATCACTTCGTGAATAAACATCAGCTCCTCCTCCCCTGGATGCACAGAACCACTCTAGCCTTGTGAGTGGCCCAGAGGAGGGAGGCTGGGAGCCCCAGCGGCTCCGTACACAGGGGTTGAGCCTAAGCCAGAGATCAAAGCCCAATGGCCAATTTGCCCAAGCCCCCCACCCAGTTTTTGCAGCCTGTTGTGGGAGTGTTGGGCGTAACCCCAGTGCTGTCTAGAGGATTCAAACAAGCCAGGGCCTCCAAGCTGAGCTTTGAGGGTCTTGTCTGTAGCCCTGTCACAGGCCCCAGGGCCCCAGCAAAGACTCTGGGGGGGGGGGTGAGATGGAGCAGGGACAGAAGGGCTGAGGGCACCCATGTCTCCCCAACAGTCTGATATCACCAAGCTTCACGTGTCTCGAGCCCCCACACCTGGCCAACCTGACTCTGGAAAATGCTTCCGAGTGCTTGACACAGCACTGACAGCCACCGGGTTTGCCAGACCGGCCTTTGCCTGGAGGTGGAGCCAGGACACAGCTGGACTGTCCCAGCCTGACCCCACGGAGCAGGCCTGCTGCTGCCTCGAGTCCCTCCACTCCCATCAGAGCCTGGGGGCCCCCGGGAGGGGTATGCAGCTTTGTTGGGCGGGGTCACAGAGCTATTAGATGCAATTATTAAATGTCCCTGACATTTCTCATCACAGAGCGGTCCTTCTCAGGGCAACGGGGGCAGGACTGAGGGCCCAGGGACGTCCACGCCCATTTCAGTGCAATCCATCTAAACACATCTGGGCAGACTTGGATGGAAAGGAGTTGTGGGCGGATGGGTGCTCCTGAGGACTCAAAGTGAGACTGCAGTTTGGTGAAAACCAGGGCCAGCTTGGGTATCTCTCGGGGTTCACGCCACGCTGGACTAAACCTGAGCCACAGGAGCACGGGAACTGTCTCCTGGCGTCGTTTCCTTCTGCAAAGCCTCCACGTGGCTCACGAGAGGCTCCAAGTGCTTGATCTGCACAGTAGACCAGCAGGGGCTCGGGCACCAGGGTCCCGCTGGGAGGTGGCCTCGTGCCGGGAAGTGCTGCTGGCAGCGGTCTGTCCAGGTCAGGAAAAGTCCGCAGGGCGTGTGGGGAGCGACATGCTGGCGGGCTGTGGAGAACAGCGGTCTCATGGGCCGAGCGCCCATCCAAGGGGATGGGTGCTGGGGGCACAGGCTGGTGGCCAGGCCAGCGCCGCCCGCGCTGCGTCAGCGCCGGGTCCGACACGGTACGGGACATGCTGCTTTCTCCACTGAGAAGACTGAGAAGGCCTTGTGGCTGGTGCTTCTGGACGGATGACCATCAAGCAGGGACGCTGCTGGCAGGTGGGTCTGGCCAAGGCTCTCACGAGGCCTCGTCTGTGCTCGGGCTCTGCACTCCCCGCCTGCGATTCCAGCTAGGGCTGATCTGGCTTTCTGTCTGCTGACCCAGCCTTACTCATCCCGAATTGTCCCTTGTCCACGTGGGGTCAGTAAAGCCAGTGCAAACGTGGCCAATTAGACCAACTTGAGCAGGGCCTGCCTCGCAGCACCTGTTCCCGCCGCTCACCCACATGCCCCTCACTAGTGGGGTGCCCTGGGGAAGGCAGGGAGGGCACGTCCACTGTGCATCGCTGGTGGACCTCTGGAGCCCATGGGTCAGGCGGCTCCTTGCCACACCGCCCAAGCTCGGGCGCCTGGACAGCGTATGGGGGTGACATCATCTCCATCCTGAGGGGAAGGGCGCATGGGCAGGAGGGTCAGGGACCCCCAGACTCCGGCCAGCCCCCTGGCAGTTTGAGGACTGTCCAGAGTCCCCGTTATACTGCCAGGCGCGCTCACCAGCACGGGAAGCACACCCAACGGATAACTGTCTGTTTTACAAGTTTATTGGATCATCTTGACACAAAATCATTACAGCAGCGTGATATGTCTCTCCTTTATCTGGGAATGTCGATAGCAAATCAATTCTTATAGAACACATCATACAATTCTGAGGTTCTAGAATCACCGCACAGGATTCTGTGATAGGTTACTCTACATGCTAAAGTGACAGTGTTCGTCAAAAGGAAGTTACGTCATTGAGGACCATCACCTCTGAGGCAGCGCATCTCACGGGCGTGGTCCGGGGTTCCCGGGCCCCACTCCGTGGGCTACATTCCAGAGGCCAGTGCCACCCTAGGAGTGCGCCTTCCCAGCAGCTGTGGGCATAATGTGGGACAGACCCTGTGGAGCATCCAGCGACAGGAAGGGCCTGGAATCCCAAGCAGTCCCACCGCTCACCAAACAATGCCAACGGACACACATCTCACTGAACAGGAAAAAAACCATAAACCAACAGGGTCCAGGTCCTGCTCCATCAGGGATCCCAACTGGACCCCCACTGCGGGTGGCAGCCCCCCGTCCGACACATGAACACGCAAGTGGGACGCAGAGAACACGACAGACAGCAGCCTGCACAACCCTCTGGCCACCAGATGTCCTGACCCACGGCTGGGAGGGTGAAGGGGAACGTCTCTGCAGTGAGCTCATGCCCGCGGGCAGGGCATCTGGGGGACTCATGGGACTCGGACGGCCTCACAGAAGCAAGGACACACCACTCTGTGCCATCCACGTCCACGGAGCACCCACAGCCCGAGGGTGGGGATGCCTGCTCCTCAGGTGGCCGGCCTCGCTAGCGGGGGCCCTGCCGGTGGGGACGGCGTCAGGGCTTCTCGCCAAACGGAGTGGCAGAGAATCAAAGTAAAAACAATGACAGGATACATCAACGCAACGCGTCATCTCGCCACGTCAACAGTGGGCGCCCTGTGTTGGCGAGGCCTCAGGCCAGGCTCAGCACTTAGCCAGCGTGGCTTTGAGCTCCTCCAGCAAGTTGCTCAGCAGCGTCGAGTCACTGCATTTCCCATCGATGGATACGGACTTCTCCCCCTGAAAAAGAGAAAACCACCACAGAATTTTGAAATACTACATGAAAACACTGCCTTGTGACGGTATGTTCATCCTTTAACTTTTCACAGCACCTTCCTCGGTGTTCTGAGAACCAAAAGGAGGGAGGGGCCCCGGGTCAGATGGAGTGTCTGCCTGGGACGAGCGAGGAGACCAGCCAAGGCGGACTGAGGACTGAGACCAGAACTGGAGAACCCTTATCCCATGCCGTGTGAGGGCTGGGCAGAGCGGGGTAATCCGGCAAAGCCCCACATCCTCACTGGGGACCTCGGGGGGAGCATCCAGAGCCTCGAAGATCCCGGAGAGGCCAGTGGGGAAAGCAACCTGTAAAGTTATCCAAGAGCTGCTGGGGTGGTTCCCTGACAATAAGGACACACCAATGTCCCCCTCACGTGTGCACGCACCGTGGGACTGCGGCTGGGCCACCCTGACAAGACAGACAGATGTGCGCTGGAACGAGACGTCCAGCACCTGCAGCCTGTGCTCACATCTGCACAGACATTAACATGGCCCCAGTTACTCCGCATCCAAAGACCCGGGAAACCCCAGCTCAACCCAGCAGAAAAGACCACAAAGGCCAGGCCAGGACGAGGCAGCTGTGGGACCGTCCAACACAGGTCTTCAAGCACCTACTAGGAGGATCCCCAGTGAGGAGTCCCAAACATTGTTGAAACAAACAGGAAAACAGAACATCTCAGCAAAAAAATGCAAGATCTTCCCCCATGGAAATTCTAAGATTTTTTTTTTTTTTTAAATTTAATTGACAGAGACAGCGAGAGAGAGAGAGAGAACACAAGCAGGGGGAGTGGGAGAGGGAGAAGCAGGCTTCCCGCCAAGCAGGGAGCCCAATGCGGGGCTCGATCCCAGGATCCTGGGATCATGACCTGAGCCAAAGGCAGATGCTTAACGACTGAGCCACCCAGGCGCACCCCCGCCCGTGGAAATTCTAGATCCAAACACACAACCCTCAACATGAAACACGCACTGGATAGGTGGCATGATGGCTACGACTGCCCCACCGGGACAAACAGAGGGTGGGGGCGGGCAGGGATGGGAACACACGTCCCAGATGCCTGTTGTTGGGACACCACAGGGACAAGAAGAAGAACCCAGTGCCGAGAAAGGGTTTTTAAAAAAATGATTGATTTACTTGAGAGAGAGAGAGAGGGAGGAAAGGAGAGCGTGCATGCGTGCGAGAATCTTCAAGCAGACTCCCTGTTGAGCGTGGAGCCCCATGCAGGGCTTGATCTCATGACCCTGAGATTGTGACCTGAGCCAGAACCAAGAGTTGGACACTCAACCGACTGAGCCACCCTGAGAAAGGATTTAAATAATAGCTAAAAACTTCCAAAATTTTGCAAAAAATGTGAAAATGCAAACATTCAAGAAGTGAGCAGACTCCCAATGGCTAGACAGCCCCAGAGCAGTCCTGCCCAGACGCTGCAGCTGCCGGCACAGAGAAACCTGCAGGGTGGCAAACAGTGCCCTCCCACCAGGAAGGGTTGAGGGCCGGGGCTCTTAGCAAGAATACTCGGCTGCAAAAGGAAGGGGCACGACTTTAAATTTGTTTTTGGAAAGATTTTATTTTTAAGCCATCTCTACCCCTAACGTGGGGCTCGAAATCATGACCCCGAGATCAAGCGTCAGATGCTCCGATGGAGCCAGCCGGGCGCCCTGGAAGTGGTAGGATTTGAAAACACCGAGAGAAGGTCCAGGAAAACTAGTCCGGGGAAGGACCCGCGGGGCCCACAGACGGCCAGCGTGTGGAGGGTGACCACGGGGCCAAGGGGCCGGGGCGGGGGGGCAAACGCTCAGCCCAAGACGCAGGAGAGAGAGGCCGGTGTGGAACTGGAAGGCACAGACGGGGAAGGCGGCAGGAGGAATCCCGGGCATGGGCTAAGTGCCCGCAGCCCCAAGAACACGTGGCTCCCGAGGACAGCACTCCCACCAGCAAGAGACAGACACACCACGTCAACACCGATCACAAGACAGCAAGAGGGGCTTTTTGTCTGACATCAAAGGACTGGATGGCACAGTAAACCCCGTGAGAGGAAGAGGGACCTTTGAGGGTCAAGACACCGTGACGCTCGTTGACGCACCCACCAGCAGACACGGACTGAGCCCCACGGCACGGGGAATGGGCAGCCTGCGCGCCGCTCACTCGGGGGTGCGGAGCCGGCGATCCTGCCTGCAGGGGCCCGGAGGAGTCGGGACCGCTGCCAGCGGGGCCTGGTGACTGCCACGGGGCGGTCCACTCTACGGGCAGAGCACTCAACCGTCTCCACACACCCACAGGACGCCACCCGCCACAAGTGACCACGTCCGCAGCCAGGACACAAACCTCAACGCTTTCAAAAACCTGAAAACAGAAGCAGCGCGTCCTCCAACCAGAGGGAGTAGAAAACCATCCAAACACACCACACTTCTCAGTAACCTGTGGCTCACAGAACTGGGGACAGACATCAGGAAATGTTGTGAACTCTACAGAAATATGAAAATGGGACGTATGAAAATTTGTGGGGATCAGCTAATGGGCTGCTTTGAGGGAAATGTGTAAGATTAAACACCACGTGAGAGAAGCAAAGTCTCAGCTCCCACCTCAACCAACATACAAGAGAGCAAAATAAACCCAAAGTGGGCAGAAAGGAGAAAAAGTACAGAACTCCACAAAATTTACTTATTGCTTATAAAAACACAGCAAAGTTTCTAAAAAGTTAGTTTTATTTTGAAGTAGGTTGCACA